ATATATATACTAATCGTTGTTTTAACTAATCCGTGAATTTGTTTTCCTCCTTTTATTATATCTATATATGCAATATATTATTTAGATGTTTTAAAATTATTCATTATTCCAATAATATTAAAATATCATTTTTTAGAATATGTTTGTCCTTTGTATATAAAAAAATACACAACAAATGAAATAATATTAATTATACGATTTCATATTAACGTTATATTTCGTTTAGTATTATTAATAATATCGTATAATAATTATCCCTTCAATCGTATAATATAAATATAACATTATAAAATATTAACTCGCATGTATATAGGGTGGCTTCTATTAAATACAATTTTTCTTGGTTGAAGGATCATCAAATATCTAATAATTACGTAAGTAAGTAACCGATCGGAAGTAAGTACTCGTTTCAATCGCGTATGAATCATGATGAAAATCGAAGGATGCTCTTTTAGAATTACCTTTTAATCTCGAACGAGATGCCGTCTTGATTCAACTATCTGAAGATAGCTACCTATCTACCATCGGGTAGGTAGTAGGCGCCACTTCATTTCGCTATGGGTAATCGTTAATAGCGTAAAAGGAAAAGGGGCTCCCTACTAAGAAATAAAAATTAAAAAATAAAAATAAAAAGAAGAAGAAATAGAAGAAGAAGAAGAAGAAGAAGAAGAAGAAGAAGAAAAATAATAATAATAATAAGGGAAAATAGTAGTAAAGCAGTGACGTTCTTAGTTGAAGTAAAACTGTGCCACTACTTTAAGCACTATAATAACGTTTCACTTGTAACCATTTCTCGGAAAGCTTAATTAATCATTACGCATGGCCCGGAGAGACTTTGCTAGTATATTTAACAGCAAAAGAGAATTAAAAAGAAAAGAAACAAAAAAAAAAAAAACTACGAAACAGAAAGAGTGTAAGTGCAATAAATGCATTATGAAAAATATTCTAGGTAGATTAAGAATAAGTAGTAGTAGTAGTAATGTAATATATGTATGTTTGTGTGATAATAATAGTAGTAGTAATAGTAGTAGCAACTCGGGTATTCCATTTTGATATCAGAAAATGTATTCCCCATCTTAACTTTCCACTAGATGATTTAGTAAATGATGCGTAAGAGTGGTGGATACGTACGTACGTCTCGGTGCGTGCAACCGAAGCGACGAAGCATCGCACGCGCGAAAAAGAAAAAATATTAGGAGGAGTAGAGAGGGGTGGAGGGTAAGAAAAAAGAAAAATAAAAATAAAAAGAGCGTGTGGTGAAGAGAGAGAACTCTTCGCTAAGATCGGCCAGTTTTATGATTTGATTTATTCCTTTTACCATACGGAGGTCACGCTCGAGAGAACTCGCGTGTAGAAAATCTTGTTTCAAAGTCGTCGCGCGAGCTTACCTTAGTTAAAATTCTTTTTCGATTGAAAAGAAACATATTATTTTTAATTTCGTTAATTTAATATATATTTTTTTATCGCGTATTTGTTCCTCTTGTTTTTTTCTTTTTTTTTTTGTATTTAATTTCTTTTTGATTTTTTACCAAATATATTTTTGTTGTTAGTAAACGAAATTATATTTTCTCTTTGATTATTTGAATTTTTAATACGCGTTTGTGATAAAAATTATACTCCTCCAGAAGGGTTATTTCTTATTTCTTTTTTTATTTTTTCTCTCGATCGTGACCTACTTTCGTTTAAAGCAAATGAAAAAGCACCCAAGTGAATTTAATGTCCCGACAACAAGTTAAAAGATTTCTTGCTCGTGGTGCAGTTTTTAAACAGTTCCTACGCCATTGAATACAAGAGCGGCATTGTCTAGGAGGCTGGTGCAACACCACTACCAACACTAACACCAACACCATCATACCATCATAACAACCAAAGCAACATACGGAGAACACGTCCGTGTCTCGTGAGAGAAAAATAAAGGAAGGAAACTCTTCTGCTGCTGCAGAAGAAGCAACGTGAAATAGCTAGCTAACTTGTTAGAATTTATGATAGTACCGTGAGATGGATTATCGATCCTAGAAAGATGACGAACTACTACTATCTTTTTAAGACTTCCGTATGTTTTGATAGGTTTGATAAATTAACTCAATTAACTGTCGTATTTTTGATCAATGTGAGAGAATCACTGATAATATATATTTTCAATAATATATATTATATTATATATAAATTTATATGAATAAATATT